TTTAAGAAAATTAATGAGCTGTAGTAAGCCATTAAGACTGTGGTAATTTGTTACCGCAGCAATAGGAAACTAATACACTACCCAAATCCATTTCATCCGCTACCATGTATGTATGAGATACTCTGAGAACTGCAAAGATGAGTAAGATGTGGTCCCTGCCCTTAAGGAGACCTGTGCGTTATGTGGGAGACGGGCAAGAGCACCTGTAGCTGAAAGCAGTGCTTCTCAACCTCGGTTGCCATTAGAATGGGGTGGTGGAGGAGAACTTAAAAGCTCCTGATGCCTAGGCTGCACCCCAAACCAAGTATATCTGCATCTCTGGCATTGGAACTTAGGCAACAGTATTTCTGACTGTGTTCTAGGTAATTCCAATGTGCAGCCAGGTTTGAGAACCGCAGCCTAAAGCACACTCAGCCAGGGATCTAGAGCAGCAGGTGACGATACATTACAATCAAGATTAAGACTTTAATATTATTAATATTTAATATGATCATTAATGATACCACTTACCTGGAGCTCACTAGACAACTCTAAAATTCTGCATTTCGGTCATTGGTCTGCCTCTTTCTCCTGGAGCCACAGTTTTGCCCTTTCCTACTTCTATTCCTGCCTATATCTCCCACCCTGAATTCCTCCAAGTTCCTGCCATTCCAAAGCAGTGCTGCTCTTGTTAATAGCAGAGCATTTGAGAGTCGCATAGAACCTTAGAAATGAGCTCAGCCACTTACTTCTTTATAGATGAGGTGGAAAGAGCGAAGTGATACTTGACTGAGTGCACATGGGTGCAGTGGCAACATCTGGACTAAACCCAATTTTCAATCTCAGTCTTTCCACTACATCAGTCTTTGCCACAAAATCTTTATAACACCCCCACAGTATCGCCAATGACCTCTTTTCATGATGAAGATGGAGATAAAGATACTTCTCTTAGAACGGCTTTTCATCTTCTGGCTAGAATGAAGTCTCACTGGAAACTTTTAAAAGCTAGACACGGTTTTTAAATTAGCAGAGTCTAGCAAAAGGCATGTTCCTGAAGAGTTGTCGATCAAATTACATAAAATAATTTTCATGCACTAGTACTTTTACCCATTATGTAAGGTGAGTAATCACCTACAAATGAAAACAGCCGTTCCCTGGGCTCCTTGGAAAAATGGCTGATTCTAGGAGTGGGGTAGGCAAAATACAAGATAAACCTGGAGCATCTTGTAGTACCAGAAAGTAAGGAAATAAATGCTCAAAAACAAGCAAAAAAAAAAACCCCAAAAAAACAAAAAACAAAAATAAAGCCTCACATTGAGGTGAGTATGCCAAAGGGACCTCAAAATAAAGAAGTATGGAATTATTACCTCAAATATAAAATAAGTATCCATGAGTCCATACTGATATAAATGAGTTAATAAATAAATGGAGAAAAGATAAATCTCCCATGCAGAAGAATTCCAAATAATTTATGTAGATACTGCACTCTTGAGGAGGTGGAGCATAAGTCCCCAGTCGTAAGTGTGGGCTACACATAGTAACTTCCTTCTAAAGAGTACAGTACGGAAAGGAGGTGGGAGACTAACTTTATAGTGGAGAAAGCTGACACACACTACCTTAGCCAGGTGATCAAGGTCAACATCAACAGAGAGAAATCACTGGTATATGATATAATGTGACGGAAATGGCACGTCACCTCTGTGGTCTTCCTCCCCAAAACTCATAACCCCAATATAACCATGAAAAAACATCAGTCAAGTTCCAATAGACATTCTACAAAATATCTGACCAGTACTCCTCAAAACTATCAGTCATCAAAACCAAGAAAATCCTGAAAAACTGTCACAGCCAACAAAAACCTAAGGAGACATGAAAACTACATGAAATTTGCTATCCTGGATGGGAGCCTGGAACACAAAAGGGGCATTAAGTAAAAACTAAGGAAATCTGAATCAAGAATGGACCTTAATGACAACGATAATGTCATTAATTGTAACAAATGTACTCCTATAAGACGTTAACAATCAGAGAAACTGGGTATGGGTATATGGGAACTCTTTGTACTACCTTCTCAATTCTTCCATAAAACTAAAACTGTTCTAAAAAAGGAAAGCTATTTAAAAAATAGCCATCTCGGGCCGGCCGAGTGCCACGATGGTTAAGAACTGGCTTGG